CTGAGGAAATACACGTATGGAAAACACATCCTGGCCAAGCTGGAGAAGTACTACATGAAGAACGGAGTGGACCTGGGTCCTCTCTGCGGCCCGCCCAACGGCATCATGTAAACGGACTCCCCCTCCCTCCCCTCCGGCCTGAAGTCATGTCTGTCACCCCCTCCCTCTCCCCTTAGCCCTTGTTAAAAGCTCTCATGTCTCCTGACCCCTCAGAGGGCATCATGCCCACTCTCCACCTCCAAATCCTGTTCACAGAGGACGTTGAGTACCCTTCTTCTTACCTTTTTGTTTCCATGGCAACCTCTCGGGAGGAGCCTGTTGCTACGGGCAGCCTTAGTTTTTGTCAGATTTTGTCGCCCCTCCCCCACCTGAGCCCAGGCCCACTGAACTGGGGGAAGAAGGGCAGGGAGTGGAGAGAGAAGAGAGGCTGCTCCACTCCCTCCTTTTTTTTCTGTTTCCTTTCGTTTCCTCGTTTCTGATCAACTCTAAAAATCATTTCACTTTTTGCTACTGCTGCACACACAATCCTAGTGTCCCCCTCCGCCCCCCATCCTAGATATTTACCACTATGAGATGGACGAGTATTTAATTTGTCAGACGTCACAGAATCATAGACACACACGCCATCAGCTAACCAGCAGACAGATCATTTAGCATGGGAGATTCGTTTTCTGGTCTTGCTTCTATAAATATAACGTGTATACTTGGTGTAGACCTTTGCATATATATATAAATATATATATAAAACTTTGTAGTTTTTCTGGTTTTTGATGTTGAATCTGTATCTATAATGTATCCTAGTAGTGACCACATACTTCTGACTGTATAATTGTACATTTGTAAACCCTTGTAATGTAAAAGTGCTTTACCACCCTTTTTGGTATAAGAAGAAAAAAGATAAAAAAGCTCACTCTGACAGAAAATCTTAGAAAAAAAACCCTGTGCATTTCAGTGTATATTCTCACCTCCTTGGTTGTGACATACGAGTTGTTGTATATTGTAAATTGTAATATCAAATTTTTGTTTTGAAAAGCCCTTTCTATACAGCGTAGTACTTGTACAAAGATTCGCCACGCTTGGTTTTATCTTTATCTTGTCACTGCTTAACTTAAGACGTCGTTCTCCCACTGACTCCCGATTGGACACGTTCTGTTAGACTTAAAGTGTCTTCTGCTTTAGGTTGAAGGTTTTTTTGTTTTTGACCTTTTTTTAAGATCTTTTTATAGGAATGCTTTACCCCATGAAAAGTGTCATGCTGGCTGGTTGGGAGAAATAACTTTTACTCATTTAACCCCAAACCCCTCGATTACCCATGACTTTTCAGAGGGGTAAACCCATGGATTGTACAGAGGAGATTCTTGTGTTTTTTGGCATTTCTCTAGTGCTGTAAGTGCTGTATCATACTGTCCATGTCCTTTTGGGTGAGAGAGGCAGCCCGCCACAGCGCGGTGTACATTTGGAGCAGCCTTGTGTATATTTACTACGAGCACACCTGTAACCATATGTGTATAGTTAACAGAACCTGTGTATGCTTATTGCCTGGGCAACTATTTTTTGTAACTCCTGTTGTAGATTGTCTCTAAACAATTGTGTGATCTTTATTTTGAAACCAAACTGAACAAAAAAATCTTTGAAAATGTAACCGTCTCAAGTGTCTTTTATTGTTTGTTTGTGACGCTCACACAGGGTGAAGGGACAGAGCTGCAGATTGCTGTTTTTCTTATTTTAAGTGTCTGTTTTATGAAAGAGGATCGGGATCTGTGCCACAGTTTCTCTTGCAGCCATCTGAATAAATGTGTTGGCACTGATAAGACTGCAACACACAGCGTGAGTCAGAGCTTGCTCTAGTTTCTTCATAAATGTGACTGATTAATAGGCCTGGCATCTTAGCATGGCAAGCAGCAAATGTAAGTGTACTATATTAATTCTACTTCTGACATGAGTAATGACCCTAAAAAGAGATTCGGCATGAGGCAGGGCACAGCGATATGCATGCCAGCCGCTCTCTGCTCTTAAGTAGAGGATAGTCAAATGAGTTGCTTTATATATATCAGTGTAGTAAACAAACCGAATATTTATGATACCAACATTCACACATAAAGCTACTAGGGATTATTTAGTAAAAGAAAACTTAGAAAAGATGCAGAACTGTAATGTTTAGAACCATCAAAATGTGGAAGAAGTTACTAATGAACCCTGGAAAAATCTAAGACATGCTTTAAAAGCCTAAAAAAACTGATGTTAAACTGAACGCTAACTATTTCTTGTGTCTAAATGTTTAAATTTGTACAGGTCTTTTGTATGCCAGGAAGCTAACGGGGATCCAAATAAAGGATTCCCAGACTTTACTGCAGGGTGGGGTCGGTTGTTTTTTAAATCATACTATCCCTCATGTGGTTTTCTAATTGTATCTTCTAAAGAAACATGAGGACAAAACAAATCCTGCCCTCACTTGTCCAGCTTTTGTTTGGAGCATAGGTGGGAACAGCCAGGATGTTACTTTGAAAACAAGGCAGTTTGGGTGTGATGATGGCAGTAATCCCATGGCTTTGTTGATTTCTTAAAGAGGATAACAATAATAAACCCTTCAGGATGTGAGGACTGAGGGTGCAGTGATTTTAAACCCTGAAACTAAACTCAAGCTGCTGTTTTATGGATTACCAAACCTGTTAAAACCGTTGTGACTACCCCCGGGCTCTGACCCTCAGTGACCCCCGATGCCTGTGTTTGTAATTATGTTTGTGGCACTTTGATTCATTGCAAAGTAAACACAACCTTAAACTGTGTCCTGGGTTATTACTGCTCTTGTCTTTTTTAACATAATGCAAATTCCTATGTTAGTGTGTGAAACAGGGTGTCAATACAAGTCAAACAGACGATAAAATATCACTTTCAAGCCTAAATTAAAAAGCAGTTGTAGGCTAGCGTGTCAGTTGTTGAATTAGCTAACATATGTCCATCAATTTAAGTTATCAGGTTTTAGTTTAAATGCTTTAAATGATTGGTATTAACCTTTTCAATGACAGATGGTGCCTTTAAACAATGAGTACATGCTATTGTTTTCCCTTGTAACTGTCCTTGAGCAGTAGGAATTTGAGGGTCAAATAAAACATAACTAAACAGTTTATTTTCTCTTTTTGCGAAGCCCTAGCTTTGAAACCATACTTTTTAAAAAGCCTCCATTGGTCTGACATCACTATGTGTGTGGGGCAAACATTAAACAGGAAGTTGACCCTGCAGCCATGAGGTGAGGAAAACGATTTATAAGCTTTTGCTGGTTATCTCATTAAGGTCATAATAACATAGCTTGTGTAGCAGCACCCAACCCTTTGATGGGACCTGATATGATGTACTGCACGAAATCAGTACAAAATAGTGTTGTCTATTTTTGGTTGTTTGTAATTTGTCAGGCATGGTTTTGGGGAATTAGCACAGAGCTCAAAAGCTTTGTTAATGGTGAAAATGAACAACATTGCAATAGAGAACAATGGTGTTGGCTCTAGAGTCCACATTAGTGGTTTCCAAACTCTATAATATGTTCAGAACCCTAACCTAACCCTCCACCAAAATGCTCATGCACTATCTGGCTTTGCTAGGTGTTTTTGCTAGCTGTTAACTCTAAGTTTAGCCTTGTCCTCTTAACCTACCTCTAACTAATCCTGAGTAATCTACTGCAGTAGACTGGCACTAGTGAGACAGGACGAAAGATGCAGGAAGACAGAACAAAATAAAACACAAGTAGAGGAGTGAGGACAGGTTGAATGAGGGAACCAATTGAGTACAGGGAGATAGAGGAAGCAGGAAATACAAGTTCAAGATGTGGGCTTGGTTCTGGCCAAGAAATGGAAATGTAGGCTACAGGTCATATTATATAAAAGCCTCTCCTTGCAATATGATATATGGGAGGCCAGAGTTTGTTGGCACACATCTATGTTTATTGGTCCTTTGAAGGTAACAGAAAACTGTGAAATCAAAATGTTTTCTTCTTTCTGCACTGATTCAACACCAACTCATGTTGAATACATTTCAAAGTCTCTATGCAGGGTATATACTGCAAGGCCGTAACCATGGAGTCAACATTGGGGGGGGACCAAAAGTTAAAAAGTCATATATCAGTTAGGCTATAATTGTGTGTGTGTGTGAGCGTATCTGAATATTGGGGGGGATGTCCCCCCCCCCAATGTACATGGTAAATTCAGCCTTGATATATGGAAACAGAAAAAGGTGGTATGTGGATTAAACATGAAACTGTGTTAGAGATTTTGGAAATATTCTTCCAATCAGTATTTAGGAATCAGCTTTGGATATAATATTTAAAAGTCTATGAGTGATGATTTGGGGAAATGTGATCTGGGTCGGTTGTACCTACCCACTTAAAACTGTTGATGTATATATTTTTGGGATAATCTTTAGAGATTTTTCAGAACCTTGCATATGCAGGTGCTTATAATATTCTAACAAAACCCAATGTTGCCAGATTAATTGCAGCGAAAAAAATACATGTCCTCTTCAAATGAGTAGGTATGATCTACAGTGGGCTATTACAAAAATGAGGTGTTGGGCAATTTGTTTTTATTTCTTTTTTACTCAAGGCTGATATTCCTAAACTGTCCCTGAGTTTGACTGCACGGTTGCTAGGCGACACAAGTAGGCTACAGTGCCTATAAATATTAATGATTGTTAGTGCGACAGGTGTGAGCTCATCTGGGAGTGTTTTCAAACGCATTGACCGTGACTCAGCCAATCACAGCGAAGCATCGGAGCTGAGCCGTAAAGGTGTTTAAAGCATAGGTGTAAAGCTATGGTGTGAAGACGGCGGGCAGCCAACCGGAAGCATCTGAGTGCGAAACAAAACTGTGTGTGTGTTTAAGATGGGGCTGCGGGTGCCGACATGAGCTGCAGGGGGCATCCTCGTCCTGGCTGGCGGAGATCCCCTATTTCTCTCAATACACACACACACGCACGCGCGCACACACGCACGCACACATTTATGCGCTCTTTCTCTCTCACACACCTCTCCTTCTGCCAGACTCCCAGGCCAAGCAGCGTCGCCATACGGAACATCCTGCCCTCAACGGAGAGGGGGAGGAGAGAGAGAGAAAGATAGAGAGAGAGAGAGAGAAAGAGAGAGAGCTGTCCTGAGTGTGAGAACAGGGACAGGGAGAGAGAGGCTGTGTGTGTGTGTTAAGAGAGAGAGAGACGAGCTCTGGCGTCTCCTGGTAGTAAATCTATCAGGTCTCGAGCACAAAAACTCACAGGAACAGAAAGAGAACAGGGAGAAGACGTCTCGCGGATATCTGTATGCTCTCCTGGTTACCTGCAGCAGCTGCACGTGAAGCCTTGGAATAAATCCCCCGACTAGAAGGAAGGATGGTCGCGCGGACGGGCTGCGCGCTCTGAAGTTGGACAGACTACCGAGACATCGACAGCAGCTTTTCCTCCCCCCCACCTACCCGAACCCAGTAAAGTCAGCAGCGGCACCGCGAGGCTGTGCCCGCGCACCCCATCATGAAGCTGCCCTGGCTACTGCCGCTCGCGGCTCTGCTCGCTCACACCGCCACGGTAAGCACGAGCATCAGATCCTTTGTTAACCGGGAGCCCGTGCGTACATAGGAGCATTTGTGTACATGCGTGTGTGTGTGTGTGTGTGTGTGTGTGTGTGTGTGTGTGTGTGTGTGTGTGTGTGTGTGTGTGTGTGTGTGTGTGCGTGTGTGTGTGGGGTGCGCTATCTCCAGTGAGTCGGTGATCGGTAGGAAATCCTGCACTCGACCTACTTATCAGCCCATGGTGGCGACCGTGACTCCCGGCTGCACCCCCACCCCCAGATCTCTCTCACACACACACACGCACGCACGCAGTCTTTGTGTCTCAGTGTTGGGGTTTAATGTGTCCCCTTGAGTCGGGTGGTGTGTGTCTGTAATTAGCGGGTTATCTCTAATTGAGCTTGATTGCGGGTCTTTGTGCGATGCTTCGGTATGTGGTGTCTGTCACCAGCTCACATCCTGCCGTTAATTTGGGGGGCTCCAGTCATACTGCGGCTTAAACGACTTTATTACCGGGTATAGTCGCACTGTAGGACGTGTTTGTGTGTGTGTGTGGGGGGGGGTGTGTGTGTGTGATGTCCGATCTCCAACCTGTAAAGTGCATGCTCCCTTAACTGTCTGATAACTGCGGCCTCATTGTCCGGATGACAGAATCCGACCAGGGGCATCCTCCCCGCTGTAGTGTGTGTGTGAGTTTGTGTGCGTGTGTGCAGCAGTGTGTGTTTGTGGTGAAAAGTGGGTGGGGTAACGGGACGTTAACGGCGATGCGGTGGGCGAACGAAGGCTTGGTTTGAATGATGTCATCGCGAAGAGGGAAGCTGATCACACACACACACACGCACACGCACACACACCCCCCCCCCTATAACACGCCCACACCTTCCGTTACCGATGAATCCAGATTTATCCCATGAGGAGGAGGGTGGAAGCTCATAGAATCATTGAGAGAAAAGGAAGCAAGCTCCAAAAATAGCCGAAATGCAGATCTACTTTTGAGTGTGGATTTAGAAGAAGAAAGCTTTTAGAATATCTTTAAAACAGCAGTGAGTCTATTATAGTAATGTTTATAATACTGCATGATGTTTTCCTTCAATTGTATCACCAGTTCAAGCTGTTTGTCCCCAAAATATGATTTCAGGATTCTTTAAAGTCCATTGCAACCAGAAGGCTACTCTTTGCTTTAAAGGTCTCCTATAATGCAAAATCCACTTTTTCATGTCTTTTATACATAAACCTGTCTGAAAATGAGCTGATCAGATTTTGGCCACTTTATGATGTCATGATGATTTTTTGGCTTGTGTAACCATTAGCCAATAACCAACCAAGGTAACAGCCCCCCCCCCCCATCTTATCTACTGAATCTCCTCCCAAAACATAACTTTTTCAGGAATATGCACCTTGTCAGCACAACAGGAGTTAAATCAAACTAGATTTTGAAACGGGGCATGGACACAATCACATAAAAATGCAGCACCCCGTGGTTGATTTGGTTGTTAATGGTGTTTGAATAACTTCAATAACAAATCCAATCTACTTGCAGTGAACCTTAAAGTGCCCTCGAGGTCGGTTGCCTCAGGCCAGTTGATTGAGTTGCCCTGATTTATTTAGCCTCGTCTTCATTCTTCCGCCTTGACACAATGTTTGTATTGTCAACATCTTCGAGTTCCTTTGTGCTGCTTCTTCTGCTTTGATGCCCTCTGGTTTTGTTTTGAAGGGTTTTCAACACTTCACACACACAGATTATTACCGGGTCAGTCTGTTACAATCTCTGCCAGAGATCTGTGCCTAATCTGTCTTTAAGTGTGTGAACGGTGCCAGGTGTGACATATATAAACATGCACACACACACACACTCACAAATACAGCTGGTCAGGAGTGCACAGAGGGATTCAGGTTGTGCTCACCTTGGTAACACACACACAGGTCAACAGTCTAATAATTGCAAGACTAACCTCAAGAAACCCGCGGCTTGAACACACACACACACACACACACACACACACACACACACACACACACACACAGGGTCACATGCATTTGCTGACAAAATCTTTCTTTAGATGCCTCTTGGCTCGAATCCAGCTGACTTGTGTGTGTGTTTGTGTGTGTGTTTCCTCTGATGAGTGATCCCCGGTGTCGTGTCGCCTGGGGTATTTCCTGTTATCAGAGTTGTGACATCATATCCGGGCGACTATATTTTACATGGGAGACCAATTTTCCCACAGACATCTGTTGTGTCCCATAGATAGCTAGTGTATGTGTGTGTGTGTGTGTGTGTGTGTTTGCATCCATCTGCCTTCATGAGAGCCTGACTGTCCATCTGTCTGTGTGTGGGCTCAAAAATAGTGAATCTTCACTGCCAAAAACTTGTTCTCGCCAGCCTTCGCTCCTTGAAAAGTGTGTGAGTGTGTGGCGGAAAAGCATTGTGTTCTCGCGGATCATGTTCAACTCATGCAATGAATCAGTGTTTTGTGCCTCCAATAGCTGACAAAGCCCCCCATAGAGGGACGAAGAAAGAGAGAAGGAGCTAGAAAGAGGAAAACATAGCCCGAGCGAGGCGGATTGAGGGAGAGTGAGGAATGTGAGAGGCAATTTGACACAGGAAGTGGGTCCTTCTCACCCTCACACACACACACACACACACACACACACACACACACACACACACCACACACACACAACACACACACACACACACACACACCACACACACACACACACACACACACACACACACACACACACACACCAGCCAGCAGGTAGAAAGCACTCCTGGTGTAGAGGAGGTATTTCAGGTGTGTGTGTGAAAGGATGGGTGAGGGTCACCTTCCAGTGGATGGAGGAAATGAAAAGGATCTAGGTTCATATCCGGAGCTGTATTCAAAAGGTCGACCTCTGGAAGTGAGCGTAGACGGAGAGAATAATGATAGCCTTCAATGAGAAATAACATCCCTCCACCCTTTTCTCCTCCCTTTTGGGTGTTTGTGTGTGTGTGGTGGATGTGTACACATGCTGCTCGCTCAAATCTGAAAGCATTTTCTTATCACATTGGAAAGGACCGGCGTGGCGCATTTGACAGAAATGAGTTTTTCTTTCTCATGGAAAAAGTTTTACGGTCTGAATCAACTCGACAAAGCAATGGAATTTCCCATTTACTATTAGACTGATAACAGCGTGTATGGACAGAGAAAACCTGCCTTCACAATACCGTTTATTTCTGTGTCCTGCCTTTGGGAGCTCAGCATTTGCTCTCTAACTAAAAGCTCAGCCATGGATAGAAGACCATCAATTTGAGTGAGGATAAAACAGAGGCCATCACACTTTGCCCCAGAGGGATCTCAAAGACCTTGCAGCAGTCCCTGTGACCTTTAACATCTAATGTCAAACTGCATACTGATAAATGAGGTGTCGCAGAACTAGGCGTTACATTATTCCTGAGGTCAGACATCTTTCATGTTATGCTAAGACATTAGTCCATGTTTTATAGACTATATTATTGTCATTTCTTATATTCCTTGCTTAGCTTTGGCGCTGCAGCTTGTTTGCAGAAGCTTCAAAATGAGGAAGTCTGTCTGCCTCCAAAGACAAAGTGCAGGCAGCTCATTAGCCAGTTGGCCTCTCGCCCCTGGCTACCATTGCAGTTATTTTAGTCATTAAGTGTAAGGCACTACATGGTGAAGCCACACAGTAACTAGATATTCAACTTTGTCCAAAAGTTTGGAAATACTGAGGAAATAGTCACCAGGTACCAAAGAAAAAGTAAAGATTTGAGTCCAACAACTTAAAGCCAATTTGTGAACTAGAACTTTATCTATTTGTTATGTCCTCTCTTGTGATAATTGACAGGGCGTGACATGAAATTAGTTGAAAATAGCCCCCCCTTCAGCAGCTAAAAGACTGAAATGCTATGATACATTTCATATTGACCATTTTACTGAAGAACCATGAGAGCCTAGAAGGCCAAATGTTCATTGAAGCGCTCCTGGGATGGTCCAACTTCCTGAGCTGGGAGTTTGTTCTTTCAAGTCCTGTGAGTTTAAAGTCGTCATGTAGAAAGAAATTGAGGCTAAAAGACATTTTATGCAAAGCGTTTAAACAACATGTGGATGTTGCTGTTTTTCAAGTCTTGTTTTGACTTGAGGGGGTATTCGACCAAACATGAATGCAGCACAAACGCGCATATCTTGCAATGTTTACAAAAGTTAAATATAGTCTTCCGGTTGATTCCGATCCAGACCCATGGCCCAAACCTCACCATTCGACCAAGATGAATGAAAATCAGGCCAGTAGTTTTTCTATAATCCCGCTGACAAGCAATCCAGACAGGAACTATTATCTCTTTAGGCAGTTGATAAGTTAACTTGAAACCATTGAGATGGTGATACTTCTTAACTTTAAATAAGGATTGTAAATAAAGCTATTTTAATCGTAAAAATAGTGTTTTTACCTTGTAGTTTTGGTACCTTTACATGGATAAAGGTGCTGAATGTTTCTTTAAACCTGGAAAGGTGCCATATAACAGTTTGTTGGCTGAGGTGCAACATTGTTGTACTTTCTAGTCTGTGTGAATCTCAGTTCACACTGCCAGTCGCAGTTTAGAAAGTACCTGCTTTTCTTCAATCACTTGGCTCCACAACATTGTGCAACTCTAAACTTTCCCTGTGGAATTTGCTCCAGTCATCCCACGTATTAGAAAATAATTCAGATATAGCCTGAATTCATCCAGCTGGAAACTCTGGCTCCTCTCATCACGACCCGTAACACACACACAAGTGCAGACTCGCTTTGCTCACATATATGCACCGATGTGCATTAACATTAAAGTCCTGATTATCTTACACACACTCGCAGTGTGAATAGTCGTGCTGGTGTGCAGCAGTTGTGTTGATTCAGAGGGAGACGGAGAACGCTGGAGGTGTTTTAGGTAGGTCAAAACAGGCTGGAAACACAGCTCGTGTCTCCCTCACAGTAATTGGGCAGCGCTGTGCAGACATACTTGCATACATGTTCTCTAGAGAG